ATTACAGCAGCACTGACATATCATCCTGATAAACTTCTTACACACTTTTTCCAAACAGTAGGAAACATGTTTAATCTGTATGTACAGTTGCTATGTGTGTAGGGTACAAATTAATCGTGAGTGAGCAGACAGTCATAGTGGCAGCAGGAGCTTCATCATTTGAATGCTACTGAAGGCGTAGGAGAGTGTGTGAGTTTCAGTGGTGTCTGTGTGCTTCTAAACACGCAGAGCAACAATCAAAACTCCCCCTCAATCTTCACTTCCAACCACAATATCTCTTGGCGCAAAAAAAATAAAAAATACAAACCTTGGTTCTTTACATATCACCTTAGTCTTCTTTGGCCGATAACAGCACTTTGGTGCCTCAAATAAATCAATAGTTCCATTTCAAAGCTATTAGTAGACAGTAATTCAAGTTCACTTGAAAGGGCCTTGGCTTCAACCTAACCATTGCAGAAACAGTTTAAAACATTGCACCATTTTCCAAGAGCCTGCATGCCTAAACTTGCACAACAGCACACTATCATTGCAAGTACCTCAGCAACAGCCCCGTTCCCAGTCCACAAATTCCTCATGAGCCTCAAGATAAGCCCGAAATAGCTAATGTTCACAAAGTAGGTGCACACATAAGACACGTTATTGGTACCCTCTCATTATTTCCTTGTTACTGGTGCAGCAAGCATGTGCATACATGCATGTATGCTGCAATGGGCCCCCCCGAAACAGCTAACTTCTGAGAGTTTTTGTCTGAAAAATTCCTGTCAACTAGCCCAGCTTGGCTGTTAAAAGAGAGACAGACAAAGGGATGTATTGTCATGAATTAACTGCAGTGCCAGACAGAGCTTGAGTAAAAGACACTGAGTCCCCTCCTGGATATGGTAAAAGGCATACAAGGAAAGTAGCTTTTTCAGCACCACAGTAAATCTACAATAAATACACAAACTACTCTCTGCATGACTGGGAGTGTTATAGCAAAGTCAGAGTATCTACAAAATCCTTGTAAGGTTAATAGGTCTCTGGGTTTCACAGCATTTCCAGAGTGTCCCAATATTTTTGAAAGGCAGTGTCATGCAATATGAAATGATGGCTGGCATGAGAGTGCAGGAAAAAGCACGCGGGCAGCCCAGCAAGCAGCTTGAGTCTCCTGTTACTCAAGCAGTTTGTTATTATTAAAAAAGAAGAACGATACTTTCTACATGCAGGAACTGAAAACAGATAAGATCTTGGAAGGAAAGGCCTAAAGGGAAGTGGTGACAGGACTTGATGTAACTGAAAGGCACTGAAGGCAAATGTGCAAGCCACGGGGTTTCCAAAATTCAAATTATGAAAGCAGTAAAGTTAGCTATAATTTATTCAGGCAACTCGTTTCTCACTCTTTTTTATTGCAGGATATGACTAGAGAAATCTATTGCAGCTGTTTAAAGCCAGGTTTAACAAAAAAAAAGTCATTTCTGGAAATGAAAAAGAACAGGACATCCATTCAAGAACCCTGTTTTAATTCAAGACAGCCTGCTTGCTGATTCTGATGAAGTGTGAAGTGACTCCGACTTGCACTGGGTCACAGTTTTCCTTGATGCAGTCTGTTAACTCACTGACAGGTGCACGGCTGGTGCAAACAGCATGCCAGTTCAACTATGCAGCTGTTGAGTAGCTGCTTGTTGTACAACACACATCCTTCCTTGTATTTTTAGCTCCATAAAGTTTGTGTAAACTGCAATGGAAACCACTGTGTAGTACTCAATGCTTCCTCTTGTACAAAGATACAGGTGCAGAAGAAAACAAGGTGGGGGCTATGTAGAAAAATTATCTTTTGAATTGGCTTACAAGCACTACATGTAAATGTAAAATGACTATTGGTGCTTCAAAGTTGATAACCTTTACTGATGTACACCATATAATTTATTCAGAACAAAATGACCTAACAACAGTCAATGGAAACCAAAAATCATCAGCCCGTGGAAATCAAAGGGAAAAACTGAACTCCCAGACCTGGATCAGGGGACCAGTGAGCTCCTGGACAATCTGTGGTGGTGCTTGGTGGCATCAGATGCACCGATACACAATGTCCCATAGGCGCCCAGTTGGATTTAGGTCTGGGGAGCGCAAGGGCCGGTCAATGGTATCAATGCCTTTGTCATCCATGAACCGCCTACACACTGTGGCCGCATGAGGCCAGGTGTTGTCCTGCACCAGGAGGAACCCAGGGCCGCCTACACCAGCGTAAGGTCTGACAGTCGATCTGAGGATTTCATCCTGGTACTTCACAGCAGTCAGGGTACTGCTGGCTATGACATGGAGGTCTGTGTTGCCCTCCAATGATATGCCTCCCCAGACCATCACTAACCCTCCACCTGCCTGTTGATGTAACAGGCAGCATAATCTTTACTATGGCATCTCCAGATTCTTTTACACCTGTCATGTGTGCTCAGTGTGAACCTGCTCTCATCTGTGAAAAGAATGGGACGCCAGTGGTGGACTTGCCGATTCTGGTGTTCACTGGTAAATGCTAGTCAAGCTGCACAGTGGGCTGTGAGCACAGGTCATACTAGAAGACATTGGGCCCTCAAACCACCCTCACGGAGTCTGATTCTGACAGTTTGGTCAGAAACATGCACACCAGTAGCTGCTGGAGGTCACTGTGTAAGGCTCTCGCAGCACTCCTCCTGTTCCCCTTTGCACAAAGGAGCAAATATCATTCCTGCTGCTGATTTGTTTTCCCATCTACGGCCCTGTCTAGCTCTCCTGGTGTAACGGCCAGTCTCCTGGTATCTCCATGCTCTTGAGACTGTGCTGGGAGACACAGCAAACCTTCTTGCGACTGCATGTATGGATGTGCCATCTTGTAGTAACTGGACTACCTGTACAGTGGTACAGGTACTGTCTCATGCTACCAGCAGTGACAAGGACACTAGCAGGACACAAAAATTGAGAAGAATCTGTCAGGAAGGATATCTGTGGCCAGCACACACGAAAAATTCCCTTTTTGGGGGTTGTCTTGCTTTTTGCTCCATTGCACTTTGCAACTGTTTCACTTGTGGACATCACTAAATGGACAGACTGATATCCCTGAAGTTTAACTGACTTGGTGTTATACTGTGATGATTAAGTGTTCCCTTAATTTTTTAGCAGTATATTTAGTCTGATAATTTGCTCTTAATGCAATTAACATTTTACATTATATATATATATGTATATAAACATAAGAAATATTGTGGGTAGTACAACAGTATTAAAGCAAAAATGTGAGTTTCAACAAGGATATTGAAAACTCTGAAATAAAACTAACAGAAAGGAGAAAAACACCACTATAAAATACTGACTTAAATTCATTCTTGTAAATTAACTGTGTGTCATAATGTTTCCCATGATCCATCCATCCATCCATCCATTTTCCTCTGCTTTTCCGGAACCAGGTCGTGGGGGCAGCAGTCTAATCAAAGATGCCCAGACTTCCCTCTCTCCAGACACTTCCTCCAGCTCCTTTAGGGGAATTCCGAGGCGTTCCCAGGCCAGCCAAGAGACATAGTCCCTCCAGCGTGTCCTGGGTCTTCCCCGGGGACT